GGAATAACACAGAGGAGGACATGCTGGCGCCATTCTTTCTTCCAAAATGAGTTGATAAATGAAGTTTCATAGTGATCATGAGAGGAGCACTCAAAGGCTTCCAGAACGATCCTGGGAAATCTTTATTATGGTACAGTATACCACGCTTATACTTCAAAACTCTATACTTTCAAGAGTCACAATCACTACCACCATCCCTTTGACAGGCCAAAAAAGTCTAAGAAGTGGTCCCACCTTATGACAGAAACGAACATCGTTTCGTACTCGTTTTGGGAAGGTAAAAACTCTGGCATAGGAGGGGAGTATCTGAAAGCGCTCAGCCTTTTGAAGCTACACCTTTCACAGGTTCAAATCCCGACAAGAAAACTAGGAATCTCACACAGAATATCGTGTAGAGCCAACCGAATAGGGTCACAGTAGTAGCACTTGGCTCACCAATGACATCTCATTGTCAGAGGGGACAACCCATCATTTCTTTTTTACAGAAAAGGATTACTGCTTTTAGGTGAGTTAGTTAATTAAAAGCATTTTTTTACTGACTGACTTGTAGATTCTACTGATTCCACTCGAAAAAAAGGGAAATTTCGTTGACCAAAGCAGTATTCTTGAAGGTTGTGATCAACACTCAAAGGGCAAAGGACGAGTTTTGAAGTGTTGTGATCAACACTCAAAAGACAAAGGGCGACTTTTGAAGTTGAAGGCAGGAGGTAGGAGTCGCCCAGGCGGTATTAGCTACTACAGCCGAATATCTATAGAAGGAGAAGAGTAAGGAAAGTAAGCAGCACATGCCTGCCGTCCGACACCGTGTCTGTAAGGGGTACTCTAGAAGATACCCTCCCTGGGATCAATAGAACTTGACGAGTTCTCAGGAGGCTCAATATGGGACAGTCATGTTTACTCTCGAGAAAATTCAAGCGCTAGAAAGAAGATTTCACTATTATTCAAATAATAATGTCGTCGATTCCCATTTGTCAGCAAAAGAGGGAAGTAATAAATCAATCGTAGGAAGAAATAATGCTGATAAAGATCATCCGAACAGTAGATCCTGAAGTCAAGTGGCCCTAACCACAACGAAAGTGGTTTAATAGATACGAAGCTATAAGGGAGGTAGGGTTGAGGGTGCTCTTACAGGGAGTGGGGTCCTGATGAACTAACTTCTGTTGACACTTTTATCAGTACGTTGGGGTGTCAATGCACTTCTGCCTTTAATTGTCTATTGTTTTATCGAATAATCGACGTGCATTCTATCAAGTTCACCCATCAGATGTCCCCCTGTACACGTCGAACTGGAAAGGAAGAGAATGAATTTGTTAAGTTCAGCTCTGACCCTAAGCAAAAGCTTCATTAAAACATATGACAGTAACTTGGTAGCAAAGAGCTGTCAATATTTGATTGTAAGGATTCCGTAACTGCTGAAGAAGTGATGAGAAGAGGCACTACTGCACAATTCAGCATATTGAAACTCCTCGTTCTCAGGAAATTCATGGATTGTTTGACATTCACTCAAAATAGATATGTATTTGCATACTAGTATATGTCACACGGTACTTTTTCACCATTATTGCAAACCGGTCCCACGGCACACACATTTTCCTCGAATCTTTACTTGTAACCTCAAACTTTGATAGCTAAACAATGTAAGAATTGTGGATCAGTGTAGAATCTAAGCCACTGCACGATAAACAGAAACTCTATTTCCAACTTACTAGAATACTTCATAACTAGGAGGCGGAGGTGATATAATGGCAGGTGGTGCACACTACTGAACACATTGTCGGCGATTCGAATCCCGGATCGGTACCCGTTCAGTACAACTGGGACCTTCTATCCCTCTGAGGCCGGCCAATCGGTACCAGACTTGTCTGAGAGGATAAAAGCATTGACTTGTATATCGGAGGCCGCCGCAGGTCACTGTATAGGCCACATACGCATTCATTACGCTACTACGATTCATAACGGAAGTCGAATGCTGGGGCGCATCCCTCAGACGGGACTGATGAGCCCCAAGACTTTATTCTTCACCTTTTAAATAACGCGTTAAGTGTGTCTGTTGGTTCGTGTGTGTCCTACCGGTAATTCATAAATTCTGAGTCCGTGGACTCAAAGCGTTCAAATTTGGTGGGTGTACAGGCGGTTGTTTGGGAACACTGACGGCAGTGGGCACGCCGCCCACGGAGGCAGGCGTGCGCGGAATAAATGTTTGACCGGAAACTCTTAACTCCTTTTTCTAAGACCTAGAACTTTCAAATTGTATCCAGCGAATCCGCTACACATAACACTGTATTTGTGAAGCCTGAACACTTTGGAAAACATATGAAAATGAAAACAGCAATTTTGAAACGATGCCCCCTGCAGTTTAACTACAAAGGCAATCCCGAAATATAGGCTCCGTTGAAAAACACAAAAGTTATTTTCGAAACACAGCCCTCTGTAGAGCTATTACTGGGTTGTAGAGAGAAAGCGATATTGCAGCAGAGTTTACCGTAGAGCGGGAGGAGTCGAGAACGAGGAAGTTCGCAAAAACCCCTGAAACATGGGAACTCTGCTGAACTAGTTTCAGTTTCTGAGGTCGGACAAGGTCAAGTCGATCACAGGAGTGTTTGGAAGATTTTTCAGCGGCTGCAGAACAATGTGTTTTAGCTGATGCCGTGCTTCAGGTTTTGGTGACACTTGCGGTTAACGTGCTCCATCTTTGAATGTTGCGACATGTGGCGCAGAACATACAAGGCCGAGTAACACGTCCTTTTCCAGCGCTATCGAACAGCCGTGGGCATCGCTTCATAAGGAGCTTTCAGAGGTCATAGACTCGAACCAAGAGGGAAATTTGACCC